TCTCTCTCTCGTAGTCCACAGATACTAAGAAGTCAGGTAGTGAGAGGGTGAAGAAGAGATCGTGGACTTAGAAGAGGAAGAGGTAGAACTCTCTCTCTCTCTCTCTCTCTCTCTCTCTCTCTCTCTCTCTCTCTCTCTCTCTCTCAGTCCGATACTAACCTGTGAAGGTGGCGCCTTGATGCAGGTACTTGGAAGATGAAGCTGGAGCTATGGCGCCACAGGCAAGTCTCCCTGGCCTCCGCCAGCCATCTCTCTCTCTCTCTCCAACACTACTCTGCTCCTACCAGCGCCCAACGCTAAGGACTACCACTATTGCTACTAGCGCCCAGCGCTGAAGACTACTGCTAGCACTAAAGGTACCCCTGCAGCGCTCCTCCAGAGTGCTGCTGCCGAATCCTGAAGACTACTCCTGTCTTTTGCTTGCCCATGAAGTGCATGGGAACTCCCTATGTACTACCTCGGCCTGCCTCCTGACTGCCTCCGACTGCCTGCAGTTGCAGGGCGGGGCAGTCCAGGAGGCTGCTCTTGCCAATGCCAAAACGAGCCAGGGTCTGGCGCTGCAGCTCCTACTGAGGCTGTCGTGGGAACATGCCAAAAATAGCCTGTTCCTAAAACCCTGGTTTGGTGCCTGAATGTTAGGGCAGGTCGATCTTATGAGGGCCCGAAAGTGGCCCTCCGTTTCAGGCTGAAAAGCCTCAAGGCCTGGACGGCCCAGTTTTAGGCTGAAGCGATATACGGCCTGCAGACCCTCGTTTTCAGGCTTTTAGGCTGAAACGACACAGAGCCTGTAAGCCCTTGTTTCCAAGTTTTTAGGCTTCAGACGCTGGTCGGGCCCTGCAGGCCCGTGTGGCTGCGCAGTATGCCACACCCCCCCCTCCTTGAAAGACCGAGTTTACCTGCGAGGGCGAAGCTGTCTGTCGGAGGGAGGGACAACAGTCCGGGTGGGAGGGGCAGGTCGTGACGTTTCCTTAGCTAACCTTTGTCGCTCGTAGTGAGCGTAGATCAGTGGTGCGGATGTTTTCAAATCTGCTCCTGAAATCCATCGAGTATCTTGGGATCGCATGCTTTGAATGTAACCTTGTATTGTCGAGGCTTGCTGCCATACTTGCGATCTGTGATGACGAGGTCAACTTCTTGATGACCATCCATAGATGGAGGATCTTGCGATCTTCGTACCGAGAAGTCGTCGCTCTTGGCTGATGTGTATGTTGCCATCTTTGAGGCGTGAAAGACTGGATGAACCGTCCGATGCGGTAGGATGTTGATCACAAATGAGGGGCCATCGGGCTCATCGCCCGCAGTTGATGTTGCGGGCCATGGTCCAAACCACTTGGGAAGCAGTTTGCATGAAACATCCTGCTCGAGTGCAAACTCTTCCGCGGAGACCCACACTAGATCACCGGCGCGGATGGGACATGGCACGCGACGTCTGTTGGCTTGCTGCTGCATGCGAACTTGAGCCTTTTGCATGTTCGCGCGGGCTTGAGCCAACAATTCCCTGTACTTCCGGATGGAAGCGTGGGAGCAAGCAGCGTCTATGTCGCTGTTCGTGGGAGGAGAAGATCAGCCAAGATACGGCCTTTTCGGCCACCGTGGTGCAACTCGAATGGAGTCACGCCGATCGCCGGATGCAACGAAGTGTTGTAAGCGAACTCGATGTCGGGGAGGCGGTTAACCCAATCCTCCTGATCCGGACGGATGAGCGTACAAAGCATCATTTGAGCGGTTTGATGTGTCCGCTCCGTTTGCCCGTTCGTTTGTGGATGTCGAGCCGAACTTGGTTTCATCTTCGTGCCGGATTCGTGCATGAGAGAAGTCCAAAATGCCGACATGAACCGAGTGTCATGGTCGCTGACGATGTCTTCTAGTACGCCGTGGCTGCAAATCCAGCCGGTGTGTGAAAGTCGCGCAAGTGCGGGAGCCGTGGCGTAGTACTTGCAAGGAAGAAATCACGCATACTTACTCAAACGGTCAAGGACCGTGAGGATGCCGTCGTGCCCGAGACAGTCGTGGGGAAACGGACCGGTGACGTCCATGGCAATGGAGAGGCCGGGTTCCCGCGGGATAGGCATCAGGCCACAAATGGTTAACTGGGACCTCCATTTTCAGCTCCTGACTATGTGGTTTTTTTTTTTTTTTTTTTTTTTTTTTTTTTTTTTT